CCCCTTTCCCACTTTTATAGGTGGGGTCCCCCTTTCCCAACTTTTATAGGCTGGTCCCCCTTTCCTGACTTTTATAGGCAGGTCCCCCTTTTCCAACTTTTATTTCTGGGTCCCTTTCCCCAACTTTTGTTTAAGGGGGTGGGTCCCCCTTTCCCGTTATTGCTGGGTCCCTTTCCCAACTTCTATTGGTGGGTCCCTTCCCCAACTTCTGTTTAAGGGAGTGGATACCCCTTTCCCAACTTTTATTGGTGGGGGTCCCCCTTTCCCCCTTTTACTGGCAGGTCCCCCTTTCCCCCTTTTATTGGCAGGTTCCCCTTTCCCACTTTTATTGGGGTGGGTCCCCCTCTCCCCGTTTTATAGGTGGGTCCCCCCCAACTTTTGTTTAAGGGGGTGGATACCCCTTTCCCACTTCTATTGCTGGGTCTCTCCCAACTTTTATTGGTGGGTCCCCCTTTCCCCCTTTTATTGGGGTGGGTCCCCCTTTCCCCCTTTTATTGGGGTGGGTCCCCCTTCCCCCCTTTTATTGGGGTGGGTCCCCCTTTCCCACTTTTATAGGTGGGTCCCCCTTTCCCACTTTTATTGGGGTGGGTCCCCCTTTCCCACTTTTATTGGTGGGTCCCTTCCCAACTTTGTTGGGGTGGATCCCCTCTCCCACTTTTATTGGTTGGTCCCCTTCCCCATCTTTATTGGCAGGCCCCCCTCTCCCCCTTCTGGTGTGTCCCTTCCCCCCGGGTGTGTAGCTGTGCCCTGAGGGGTTTTTGGGGTCTGTGCCCCCAGGGTCTGTGCATGGTCATCGGGGGCATCCGGCACCAGGAGCAGCGCTTCAACAGCCGCTCTGCCGGCGTCAGCTCCGCCCTGCTCTTCCTCTCCGTGGGAGGTCAGTGGGTAAAGGGGTGTGTCCCCACCTCCTGGGGTCCCACCGGGGTTTGGGTGCCCACCCCGTGTCCCTTTGTCCCCGCAGGAGTCTTTGCCCCCACGCTCTTCTCCAAGGTCTACGGGAAGCTGGTGTGCGGCGAGTGCCACAACGTCACCCAGAACCCGCTGGGCCACTACCTGTGTCACAACTGCCACTTCGACCTGGTCAGGGGACAGGGGGGCCTGGCAGGGGGCTTGGGGTCACCCACGGGCTTGGGGTTAACCCAGTGGGTCAGAGCCTGGTGCTGCAATGCCAGGGTTGTGGGTTCAGTCCCTGTGTGGCCGTTCATTTATGAGCTGGGCTTGATGATCCCTGTGGGTCCATCTTGGGTTTGGGATTAACCACAGGTTTGGGATTAACCCAGTTGGTCAGAGCCTGGTGCTGCAGTGCCAGGGTTGTGGGTTCAGTCCCTGTGTGGCCGTTCATTTATGAGCTGGGCTTGATGATCCCTGTGGGTCCAGCTCAGGTTTGGGATTCAGCACAGGTTTGGGGTCAGCCACGGGCTTGGGGTTAACCCAGTTGGTCAGAGCCTGGTGCTACAATGCCAAGTGGTGGGTTCAGTCCCTATATGGGGGGGATTCAGTTGTAAACTGGGCTTGATGATCCTTATGGGTCCCTCCAATTTGGGTTTGGGATTAAGCACAGGTTTGGGATTAACCCAGTTGGTCAGAGCCTGGTGCTAATAATGCCAAGTGGTGTTCAAACCCTGTATGGCCATTCATTTATGAGCTGAACTTGATTATCCCTGTGGGTCCATCTTGGGTTTGGGATTAACCACAGGTTTGGGATTAACCCAGTTGGTCAGAGCCTGGTGCTGCAATGCCAGGGCTGTGGGTTCAGTCCCTGTGTGGCCGTTCATTTACGAACTGGACTTGATGATCCCTGTGGGTCAGCTTGGTTTTGGGATTAAGCACAAGTTTGGGATTAACCCAGTTGGTCAGAGCCTGGTGCTGCAGTGCCAGGGCTGTGGGTTCAGTCCCTGTGTGGCCGTTCATGTCCACGAGCTGGGTTTGACCCTCGTGGGTCCCTTCCAGCTCGAAACACTCTGGGATTTTCTAGCGGGGGTTTTGGGGCTGGGGATGCCCTGACCCCCCAGCTCTGGTGCTGGGGGGTGGCAGCAGGGCTGCCCCTTGTCCCCCATGTCCCCACTGACCAGCGCTCTCTCCGCAGATGGACACCAACGGCACCCTCTACTACAGCCACGTCCAGTGCGTGTCCTGCTCCTGCTCCCCCAGCCCTGCTGCTCCCCCACCCCCCGGGGGTCTCCAGGCCGGGCCCTGGTGGCCCTGACGTGTCCCCCGTGTCCTGCAGGCCCCTGGTGTACACGGTGTCCCTGCTGCTCCCCGCCGGGTACCTCGTGGGGCTCTGCTTCACCCTCAAAACCCACTCCCACATCTACGACATCCACGTCAGCGACTGCCACAGTGAGTGTGTCCCCAGGCCCCATTCCCGGTGCTCTGGGGTGTCCCACAGTGTCCCTGTCCCTCCCGGTGCCAGGACACCGCCACAGCCCCGTGGTGCACTGGGCCCACTGTCCCTGGTCCCAGTGTGTGTTTGTCCCTCCCCAGTGCCAGGCCACCACCCCAGTGCTGTGGTGCACTGGTCCCATTGTCCCTGGTCCCAGTGTGTGTCTCTGTCCCTCCCCAGTGCCAGCCCACCACCCCAGTGCCGTGGTGCACTGGTCCCAGTGTGTCCCTGGTCCCAGTGTGACACTGGTCCCGCTGTCCCTGGTCCCACCATCATCTCTTTCCCTCCCCAGTGCTACGACACCCACACAGCCCCGTGGTGCACTGGTCCCAGTGTGTCCCTGGTCCCAGTGTGTGTCTCTGTCCCTCCCAGTGCCAGGCCACCACCCCAGTGCCGTGGTGCACTGGTCCCGCTGGCGAGCCCTGGTCATCCTGCTGCTCTCCACCCTGTGCATGTCGGCCTGTGCCGACCTGGCCACGGAGCACATCAGCCCCATCCTCACCAACTCCACCATCTCCCAGGTGAGACTGGCGTGGGGACGGCAGGGACACGGGCTCGGGTGGCCCTGGGGACCAAGGCACCCCAGCCAGGGGTGAGGACCCGCCCTGGGGGTGCGGTTTGAGCCCCAGAAGCCGCAGGGAAAAGGTGCCGAGCTGCTGCTCGTGCCGGGGAGCTGCAGGTTAGACCGGGCCGGTGTCCCCTGTGCCCTGCAGTACTTCATCGGTGTCACCGTGCTGGCCATGGTGCCTGAGCTGCCAGAGATTGTCAACGGCATCCAGTTCGCCCTCCAGAACAACCTGAGCCTCAGGTGAGGTGGCTCCAGGGAGGAGTTCTGGGGTCCTGCCCCTGCCCTCTCCCGGTCCCTCCCGCTGCCTCGGATGGGCTGCCCGGCCCCTGGCGGGTCAGATCTTGCCAACCTGCCCTGGAGGGGGCTCAGGGCCGCCCAAAAAGCGGGATCAGAGCGGGCTGGGCCGCGTTGCGTGGCCGGTTCCCCCCGGGGTGGGTTTCCCTCGCTCCGAGGGCGGCTCCCGAGTCCTCCTTCCTCCAGCAGCATCGAGATCGGGAGCTGCATCGCCGTGCAGGTCTGCATGCTCCAGATCCCCATCCTGGTGCTCTTCACCATCTTCTACGTGAGTGCAGACCCCGGGGGACGTCCCCCCGCGGGGCTGGGGACACACAGGGACACGGGGAGGGGACGGTCCCACTCCTGGTGTCTCACAGTGGGTTTGATGTCCCCTGCCCCGGTGGGTGGCCTGGGGAGGGGTTCAGGGGTGACACACAGACCCCCCCACACACCCACCCACCGGGGCTGGGGACATCCTGCTCGTCCCAAAATCCCGCTCATCCCAAAATCCCGCTCATCCCAAAATCCCGCTCGTCCCCAAATCCCGCAGCCCACCAACTTCACGCTGGTGTTCAGCGACCTGCACGTCTACGCCAGCATGTTCAGCGTGGTGCTCATGAACTACATCTTCATGGACGGCAAATGTGACTACTTCCAAGGTGACCTGGGTGGCCCCGTGGCTCGTGGGGGGGGTGGGGGGTCCTGGATCCACCCCCGGGGGCTCCTTGGCAGCTCCCGGGGTGGGGTGACCTGAGCGATCCTGGGGGCTCGCTCGGGCACCTTGGAGGTGCTGGAGCTGCTCCAGGGGGAATCTTCCCTCCCTTGTCACCCTTAAAAAGGGTTTAAACCCCTTTTAACTGAGATTTTGAAGAGGCCTGTGGAAATTCTCTACAGGGGGCTCTCCTGGGGTCATTCCTGCTCTCCTGGGGTCTTGGTTGACCATCTTGGAGCTGCTCCAAGGGGAATCACTCCCATTTAACCCTTAAAAAGAGTTTAAAATCCCTTTTAATCGGGATTTTTGCAGAGGCCCACGAAAGTCCTCTACGGGGGCTCATTCAGACCCCAAAACCACCTCCCTCCTTACCCCAGGGAGTAACTCTCTCCCCCCTGCTCTCCTGGGGTCTTGGTTGGGCACCTTGGAGGTGCTGGAGCTGCTCCAAGGGGAATCTCTTTTTACCCTTAAAAAGGATTTAAACTCCCTTTAATTGGGATTTTCTAGAGGCCCATGAAAGTCTTCCAAAGGGGGCTCATCCAGACCCCAAAACCACCTCCCTCCTTGCTCTGGGGTGTAACTCCCTCCCACTTTGCTCTCCTGGGGTCTTGGTTGACCATCCTGGAGCTGCTCCAAGGGGAATCCCTTTTTACCCTTAAAGAGCCCTTAAACCCCCTTTAATTGGGATTTTTGCAGAGGCCCATGAAAGTCTTCCAAAGGGGGCTCATCCAGACCCCAAAACCATTTCCCTCCTTGCTCTGGGGTGTAATTCCCTCCACCCTGCTCTCCTGGGGTCTTGGTTGACCATCTTGGAGCTGCTCCAAGGGGAATCCCTCCCTTTTAACCCTTAAAATGGTTTAAAATCCCTTTTAATCGGGATTTTTTCAGAGGCCCATGAAATCCCTCCCCGGGGGGCTCATCCAGGCCACCCCAGGAGGTCTCCAATGCCCTTCCCTCCTTTCTCCCTGGGATAACTCCCCCCTCCCGTGGTGTCCCCCCCAGGCACGGTGCTGGTGATGGTTTACTTCATCCTCCTGGCCGTTTACTTCTTCGCCCCCTCGCCCAGCGGCTGCTGAGCTCCGGCCTCTCCCGACCCGCGGCGGCTTCCAGGAGTTCTCCGGGATCTCAGGGACCGGCTCCGGGCTGGAAGCACCATTCCCAGAGCTCCTGCTGCCGCCCGGCCCCTCCAGGGGGGCTTTGGGATGGGTGGGAAGGGTTGGTGGCCGTGGAATTGCTCCTGGGATGAGTCACGGGGGTGTTTCCCAAGGGGCACTTCCAGCCCCCCCGGCGCGCTCCCGAGGGATGTTATCCCAAAAGGAGGGGCTGGAAGGGGGTTCCCGGGACAGACCCTTCCCTTGGGAAGTGTTGCACTGGGAGGAGGGGCCGGGGAAGGTGATCCCAGGGAGGGAGTTGGGATTTTGGGATCACCGGGAGGGGGCTGTTCGGAGGCACCCCGGGGGGTTTCGGAGCAGTTTGGGCATTAAAGCACTTTTGTACAAACCACACACGGGGTGGGCTCTCCTTCCACGGGCCTCGGGCACCTCAGGGGGCTACTGATGGGCTGGGGATGGTGGCCACCTGGAGCCCACCTCCATTGGGCAGCGGGGATGGCTTGGTTGGAGCAGGACAGAATTCCATGTCGGTATTCCATGCCAGCATTCCATGTCCTCTGTCTCAGCACCACCAGGCTCTGGGTTTCTCCAGGGCCTTCCCAAAGCTCCGTGTCCTTCCCAGCCCGGCCTTGTCCCCCCCAGGCCTTGTCCTTCCTTCTCCTGGCTCTCCCAGGGAGAAGTCAGGGATCGCCTCCCCCCAGCAGTTTTTTGGGATGGGGGATTGTTTGAGCTCGGCACACGCTCCCGGAGCACTTCAACACTCCTGGAGTGGTTTGGGTGGGAAGAGACTTTGGGATCAGCCAGTTCCAACCCCAACACCTTCCACTAGCCCAGGTTGCTCCATCCTGGCCTTGGACACTTCCAGGGATCCAGGGGCAGCCACAG